TCCTCAGGTTCCCCATGTCCCGTCCCTGGGCAGATCAGCCAGGTTCCCGTGTCTCCAGCACGCAGCCGACTCTGAATACAACCTGGTTTAATATTTAGTCAAATTGTGTAGTTCTCATGTCTTGTTCCTACATTAAAGGGAATTAAGATTGCAGATGGAATTAATTTGCTAATTAATTGACCTCAAAATTGGTAGAAAAGAGAGGGCCAAAGAGATGACACTGTGAAAAGGACTTGGCCCAACCTTGCTGGCTCTGAAGCTATAGCAATGAGACCATGTGCCAAGCCATGCAGACAGGCTCTAGAAGCTGGAACAGTGCATTTTCCCCTAGAGCTTCTGGAAAGGACTCAGCCTTACCCATATCTTGATTTTAGCCCAGTGAAACCTATTTCAGACTTCTGACCTCCAGAAGGAGATAATATATTCTTTAAACCAATAAGTTTGTGGTATTTTGTTACAGCAGCAGTAGAAAACAAATACACCCACCAGGAAAGCAAAAATATCAATAATTGTGCATTGAAAAAGAATGGAAAGATCTTCAATAAAATGAAAAGAAGTTATAACTGGTTGGTAGATCTTCGTTTATTTTAAAATCATGATACTTTACTTTTTCCATATTTCTGAATTTCCTAGTATCTTTTTGTGCCACTTTTATAAAAGGAAAAAATAAGCTTTTGTTTTCTCCCTGAGAGATCCTACTCAATCTTCAAGGAGAAGGTCAAATGCCGTTCCCACCCCCACCCCAAGAAGCCTCTCAGACACCTTTTCCTTGGCCAGGGGCAGACTTTCTGCTCCCATGGCCTTAACACTGCAACTGGATTCTAAATGCCTTAGGAGTAGGGTCTAGGTTGGATTCTCCTGGGGCTCAGCAGACCCCAGCTAGTGGATGTTGAATGTTCATGGGATGGATTCAGGAACGATAGTATTTCCTGAGATAATTCAAGGCCGCTTTGCCTTACACTCCCAAGGATTTCCCTGCAGGGGAGAGGGGGATACCGCCTCAGGGAAGCTGGTGCGGACCTCTCAGGGCTCAGTGGGCAGAACCTTCTGTGGCACCAGTACTGAAGATGGCTGCTTCAGATCCGAAATGTTCGTGCCTCCTAACAACCTCCCTTTAGTCTATCTGTTGGGCAATGAGGGGATCCAAGTAACCCAGGTAACAGAGCCTGGGGTTCAGACCTCGGCACTTGGTTGTTCTGAGCAGAATGTTATGGGAAGTCTTGTGACTCTGTCAGAAGCCAGGGTTGGGGGCAGTGGTAAAACAGGATGGCCAGGGTGCTGGAAACAGGCGGGCCTTCTCAAGACACTTCTCAATACCAGCTTCCAGAATCAGCCTCCAAAATGCAAAGCTGAGCATGTTTCCTGTGTTAAAATTTCAACCAAGTAAATTTGAAAACCTAATTGGCTTTATTAAGGGATTCATGATTCAGGCAACATCCCATCTAGCAACTAGATGGGCCCTCCAAGGAGTTGTACAAAACAGAAGGGGTTTATAGACAGAAAAAGGGTAGGACTAAGAAGTTAAAAGAATGGATTATTTCAGGCAAAGTCCCCTTCCCTTAGTGGAAGGCAAGAGGTCTTACAAGGAAGGTTTTATGGGGAGCAGGGTGGGGCAAAGGAGCTATTAAAAAAAAAAAGTACTCTTTTTAGATCACGACATTTTTAATTTGGGGGAAAAAATGGGAAGGAATTTTATTGTGTAGATTGCCTCCTCTTTCTATGGGGGATGGAGAGAGCCCATTCCTACTGGTGGTTGGTCAGAAAATTCAACCAGTTGATTATGTTTCTGGAAGAGGTTAAAACTACAATTAGGTCAGGTATTAAATCTAGGTTTGGTACCATGGGCTTTCAGCGCAAATGATGCCATTTGGGGCCTGTAGTTTTCTATTTAATACCTGTTTATCCCATAGGTGAAGGTTCCCCATCGCCCCCAAGATCTTTATCAGGGTGACTCAGGCCTGCTCACCTCCCCAGTCTCATCTCCCGAGTACCCCCTTTTCCCACCCAGCAATTAGTCACACTGAACTGCTCCCACACACACTACTCTCTTGTCTGGACCTTCCTTCCCTAGCCTCCAACTCTTATGATTCTCCAGGGTCTCCATGCTTCTCCTGAAAGCCACCTGGCCCACCTTTGAGGTTGGGGCTCCTCCTCTGCACTCTTAAGGCCCTATGTCTCCTCAATACATCATGCCCCTCATTGGAGACCCTGCCATTAGCCCATCCTTACAGGCTGTGAACCCCCTCCTGTAGCACCAGCTCTAGAATAGCTGCTCCACATCTAAGATGCTGGAGCCTCAACACCTTGTTTCTTCTGGGGGATGGGGCAGGTAGGTCCCCGGAGCCTAGCATAGTGCTGGACACAAAGTGGGCCTCAGTATCTTAGTCTCCCCAGGAGTGTCACAGGCAGTAGAGTCATTTACAGCCTGGAGTCTGCCCCAGAGCTATTTCTCCTGCCAAAAGCCGGAGCTGGATAAATTCCCACTTCCCCGAAGATGCAGCCTGCAGGGCCTTCAGAAACGAGAGAGCGCTCTCTCCACATCCTTGGGTGGGAGTGAGAGGGAACGGGCAACACACAGCCTGCTAGGTGGAAAGACCGGATTTTACGTCCCCAGCTCTGCTTCTGACCAACTCCCATTGCCTTATCTGAAAAGGGGGGTGATGCTGCCTCCTCCGTAAAAGTGTCACAAAGTCTAAACAATTCTAAAACAACTACTTGTACATGGAGAACCCTCGTCAACTGTGAGATCTAAGTTCTGGATTTTTCTTTCAAGAAGATGTTTGTCCAGCATTGGTGTTAAATATTGTAACTCTTCAAAAAGTGACGATCTCATTGAAAATGGAGTCCATGGACAGTGTCCTCACCAGTATCACCATCACTTACTGACAGATCTGGTGGTACCTTGCTATCCTTATGGGATTCCATCTCCAGGTGTAGCTGACCACCCTTCTTCTCGAAGTGACCCATCCATTCACTCCTAGGACCCCTCCCCCACCCATCCCCATTCTGTCTCACTCTTCTTGACTGATTTCTCTTCTCCCACCAGCCCTAATTCCCCAAAGGTCTGCGTTCACTCTTTTCCATGCCTTGGACAGGAAATGATACTCACAGCCTTGCCTTTGGTCCCAAGCCCCAGACCTCTATATCCAGTGTCCTCTTGGGCACCTCCTCAGAAATGGCCCAAAGCCCTATGAACCCATGAGGCCTAAACCAAACTTCCTCCTAACTTGTTCCCCACCCACCAGGTTCCCTTAATCTGCCCACATGGGCATCATTCATTCTTCTAGACACTCTTGTCAACGTAAGGAACGTCCAAACTTGTAGACAATTTTTATGAGTTTATTTGAGCCAAATTGACAATATATACTGGGGAGCAAGATCTCAAATGCCCCGGAGAATAACAGGCTTGCAGCTTCTTTTATGTATTTGAATTTAAGGAGAAAACATAAGGAAGATTACTTGGAGGTAGGAAGAAAAGCAGGTGGAGATTGGATTATAGGATAATTAACAAGTTTATGTGTTCTCTTGAGGCTTAACGCCTCCTTTGAGGGGTATTACTTCTGGTATTTTAAAAGGTGTATTAACCTAAATGCCTAAGAACAATGGACAGGGCTTCCTTAAAACTTTTTACTAAAGAAGTTATAGTCCTGGGCTATGACTACCCACCACGACCTGCCCAGTTAGGAATTTATGATCAGACCACCCCGTGAAGTTATTTTCCATAGAACTCTTTTTTTTTTTCATTTACAACTCTGACACACATACACACACACTCAAGTCAGTCACCAGGGGCCCTGATGGATTTCTCTGCGAACAGAGGTCCTTGTGTACAGTAGATGATTCTTGAGCTCATTTAAACTCCAGGGTTACCAATGTAGGGACAGTCTCGAACTTCATTCGCACACCAGGGCCTTCAGGACACTCTCTGTGTGAGATGGTGACTCAACCACTCCCCGTGGACTTACTGCCCCAGGAGTGATCTTGATAACCCAGGCCAGCATTCTAGGCCTATCCGTTTCAATCTCAGGTAGATAATCTATCAGCCACAATCTGGGATGGAAGGAAAAGTCAGTTCCTCAGGCAGATCTAATCTGTTCTCATTATCAACACTTGCCTGACCTTCCTGACTCCCGGGGGCAGGGCAGAAAGAGGGAAGGACAGTCCAGTTGCCTCCTTTTACAAATGGGGATACCAGGACCATAAAGGGGAAGACATTTGTTGCAGATCTCCTGAGAAGTAAGGTCTAGATCCCTGGTCTCTCATCTCCCAGGCAGTGGGAGACAGGCAGGGAGTGGGGATTCCGGCCAACTTCCTCTGCTGCCTCTTAATGTGCTCAAAGGTCATACTGGGGGTGGCAGGATTTTCTGCCTGACCCATTAAGATCCTGGGAGGGTGAGGGAAGAGGAGGAGGGCGGGGAGTGGGGAGGGGCATCACTCTGGGACATTCCACCCCTGCGGGAGCTGCCCTGCCTGGAGGAGAACTGGGTGCTCCTAGGAGCTCCTGCCTCCCACCTTATCCAAGCTGCAGAGCATTTAAGGACTCCAGGCTCACGGCATTCTCCAGAAAGGGTCGTCATGGCGTTCAGGGAGTGCTCCAAAAATTGGAAAATATGGGCTATTGCCGGTGTTACCAGTGCGCTTCTGATGTCTGCCATCGGATTCATCCTGCTCTTCACGCTGTGGAAGGTCACCCAGCCAGGTAGGGGCCTCCCCACTATGCCATCGGGTTGGCTTTTCCCATCACTCCTTGTCCCCACCAAGGCTCTATCCCCATGGACAGCACTGATGGCTTCCTCTCTCATCTCATATCCCCACCAAGACTCACCCCCACCCACACCTCCATTCGCCTCTTCCATTACCAACCCCTCTAAGACTTCTCCCCAGCAGAAAGTCCCATTTAGCCCTCTTTCCTTTTCTTCTCCAGGCTTCCAGTGTCTGAAGACCACACCAAACCTTGGTCTTCAGCCCTGACCTCCCTCCTGTGCCCCCAGACAGACATTTCTTCTAGGAGGTTACATGGGCATCTCAAACAGCAGGCTGAGCCAAACTCAACCTCTCCCCCCAATACCTGCTCATCCTTGTTCCTCTCCATTCACACAGAAATCTGGGAGCAGCCTCCATTTGTCTTTCTGCCTCAGGCCTGTCTCCTCAGGCCCTGTACTTTGAGGCTTCTGCCTTCTGTCCTCTACCCTCCATCTGCTGCTGCCCTGCCTTCTCGGCCTTCTGGACTCCTGAACCCCTGCTGTGGCCTTTCTCTTTCCACTAAGTCTATCTGCCACCAGGGAGATCTTTCTAAACACTGAACTGACTTGCTGCCCTCAGCACATGCCTAACTCCTTTGCTGATGTTCAAGGCCGTTTACAACCTGATCACAGCCCTCTTTTCCAATCTTGCCCT